GTGACTTACCAGGTCCCCGCCGATACCACGTCGGCGGTCGCGATCCTTGGGTCTGCCTGGGAGCTCAGACAGACCCCCACTGTCTGATCCAGCCCTCCCAAGGTTTTGTGGGTAATCAAGGGTTGGGAGAGAGGTCTCCCATCAATTGCCTCAAAGGCCAGAGGTGATGATCTCTTCTTGATAGGTATAGAATGTTTTTTGACAAAATGTGCATCAAAGAAGTTTCCTGCCACACTTGAATCCATCAGGGCTTTGCATGAAAAGTTCTTCTTGTTACACTTGGCCATAATATCAAGGAGGAATCTATTTTTGTTATTCCCAGAGGACATATCCATCACACCTAAGACCTGTCCCCTTAGGGTTCTTAGGTGCGGAAGTTTTCCAGACGTATGGGACAAGCACGCATTGTCAAGCAAGTTTTGCTCTTTTGTAGGGGACCATTTCGACTTTTATGAATAACTCCATAAATGCTCCTAAAATTAAGTATCTGATTATTATTTTTTATGTAATCTATGTCCCCAAACTATACATATACCACACATATTTAAAAAAATGTACCATAAAATAATTAAACTGATTTAAGTTACTATGTGAATATTATTTATTTGTCAAAAATATTTTTTTTACCGCAGTATAGGCATAGACCCTCTTTTCTCCTATATTGTCTTTCTGCCTCTGACAGTCTAGTGACCTCCAACTGCATAGGTTCGGGTTTGGACTGTACAGGGAGGTCAGGAACAATAGGTCTGGAGAAACAAGGGACTAATGACATTGCCATATGTCTGGTTTTATATCTGGTAGCTTCTCTGGTCCTAAATCTATTATCAATCTGCATGCCAAATGTAATAAACTAATTTAATCTTTTAGGAAGGTTTTTGGCAGAAATCTCATAGAAACATAGAAACATGAAATGTGAGGGCAGTTAAGAACCATTTGGCCCATCTAGTCTGCCCAATTTTCTAAATACTTTCATTAGTCCCTAGCCTTATCTTATAGTTAGGATAGCCTTATGCCTATCCCACGCATGCTTAAACTCCTTTACTGTGTTAACCTCTACCACTTCAGCTGGAAGGCTATTCCATGCATCCACTACCCTCTCAGTAAAGTAATACTTCCTGATATTATTTTTAAACCTTTGTCCCTCTAATTTAAGACTATGTCCTCTTGTTGTGGTAGTTTTTCTTCTTTTAAATATAGTCTCCTCCTTTACTGTGTTGATTCCCTTTATATATTTAAATGTTTCTATCATATCCCCCCTGTCTCGTCTTTCCTCCAAGCTATACATGTTAAGATCCTTTAACCTTTCCTGGTAAGTTTTATCCCGCAATCCATGAACCAGTTCAGTAGCCCTTCTCTGAACCCTCTCTAAGGTATCAATATCCTTCTGAAGATACGGTCTCCAGTACTGTGTACAATACTCCAAGTGAGGTCTCACCAGTGTTCAGTACAATGGCATGAGCACTTCCCTCTTTCTACTGCTAATACTCCCTATATAACCAAGCATTCTGCTATCATTTCCTGCTGCTCTATTACATTGTCTGCCTACCTTTAAGTCATCAGAAATAATCACCACTAAATCCCTTTCCTCATATGTTGAGGTTAGGACTCTATCAAATATTCTGTACTCTGCCCTTGGGTTTTTACGTCCAAGATGCATTATCTTGCACTTATCCACATTAAATGTCAGTTGCCACAATTCTGACCATTTTTCTAGTTTACCTAAATCATTTGCCATTTGGCTTATCCCTCCTGGAACATCAACCCTGTTACATATCTTAGTATCATCAGCAAAAAGACATACCTTACCATCAAGATCTTCTGCAATATCACTAATAAAAATATTAAAGAGAATGGGTCCAAGTACAGATCCCTGAGGTACCCCACTGGTGACAAGTCCAAGCTTCAAATATATTCCATTAACTACAACCCTCTGTTGCCTGTCACTCAGCCACTGCCTTACCCATTCAACAATATTGGAATCCAAACTTAAAGATTGCAGTTTATTGATAAGCCTTCTATGTGCAACAGTGTCAAAAGCCTTACTGAAATCTAGGTAAGCAATGTCTACTGCACCACCCTGATCTATAATTTTAGTTACCCAATCAAAAAAATCAATAAGATTAGTTTGGCATGATCTCCCTGAAGTAAACCCATGTTGTCTCTGATCTTGAAATCCATGTGTTTTTAGATGTTCAACAATCCTATCCTTTAACATGGTTTCCATCACTTTCCCCACTACTGAAGTAAGGCTTACTGGCCTATAGTTGCCCGACTCCTCCCTATTACCTTTCTTGTAAATGGGCACAACATTCTCTAATTTCCAATCTTCTGGGACTACTCCTGTTAACAATGATTGGTTAAATAAATATGTTAATTGTTTTGCTAGTACACCACTAAGCTCTTTTAATAACTGTGTGTCTTCCATCAGGTCCCATTGACTTATTTGTCTTTACATTTGACAGTTGAAATAGAACCTCTTACTCTGTAAACTCACGTGTAACAAATGACTAATTTGTCCTTTTTCCTAACTGTGGTCCCTTTCCTTCATTTTCATCTGTAAATACGGAACAAAAATATTCATTGAGGCAGTCAGCTAGACCTTTATCCTCTTCTACATACCTTCCTTCTTTTGTTTTTAATCTAACTAATCCTTGTTTTACTTTTCTTTTCTCATTTATGTATCTAAAAAATGTTTTGTCCCCCTTTTTACTGACTGTGCTATTTTCTCTTCTGTGTGTGATTTGGAAGCTCTTATAACTTGCTCAGCCTCTTTCTGCCTAATCTTATAGCTCATTTTGTCTTCCTCACTCTGTTTTTTTTTTATAATTTCTTAATGCTAACTTTTTGTTTTGAACTATTTTGGCCACATCTGCGGAGTACCACAGTGGTTTCTTGAATTTTTTGCTTTTACTGACAAGCTTAATGACATTTTCTGTAGCCTTTAATAGTGCAACTTTTAAATAATCCCATTTCTCTTGGACTCCATTTAGTTTGCTCCAGTCTGATAATCCCGAATTGCCTCAGATAATCCTTTTTTTTAAATGAAGAGATTAACCCGCTATTAGTCCAGTCTATCTCAGAAGCCAATGTGCGAAATTTTATGGCATAATCTGAGATAGACCGGTTCTCTTGTTTGATATGTATTAGGGCAGTGGAAGCGTCATCCTCTCTGCCTAATGGTTCAAACGTAAATTTGAATTCCACAATGAATTCCTGGTAAATATATGCAATACTCCTATTACTCTCCCATAACGGATCGGCCCAAGCTAAGGCTTTACCTTTAAGTTGGTTCATTAGGTAACCAATCTTAGCTCTATCTGAGGGAAAAGATTCCGGTGAGGCCTCAAAGTGGTACTCAATTTGATTCAGAAATCCTCTTTTGCCCATTCCAGAGCCCGTTGCATGTAGCATGCTTGGTAATACAATTTGAGGTCAGGAACGGCCAGGCCTCCTGCTGTTTTGGGGAGTGTGAGATGTGTGTTTTGAGTCTGGGTTTAGTGCCCTTCCAGATAAATTTAATGAGGAGGGTGCGGATTGCTGAGAAGAAGGTGGTAGGGAGTGAGATTGGTAGTGTCTGGAATAAGTAAAGTACCCGTGGGAGAACTGTTCATTTTGGCGATGGCAACCCTGCCAAGACAGGAAAAGTGAGGTGTGGCCCATTCCGTCAGATTCTTCTCCGTATGGTTCCCAGCAGTGGGGTGAAATTCATATGGTATAGTTTAGATAGGTCAGCCGTGAGCCTCACACCCAGGTATTTAATAGCGGTGTCCTGCCATCGGAAGGGGAAGTTTTGTCAGATTTGGTCTGCCCTCCTCCAGGGGGAGCCAATGTTGAGGATAGAGGATTTAGCATAATTGATCTTGAGTTTGGCGATTTGGCCGTATGTCTTAAACTCTGCCATGAGGTTTGGGAGGGAGATTTCTGGGTTAGTGATGAAAAATAGCATATCATCCGCATATGCTGCAATTTTGTGGTGGTCTGCCCCCACTGTCACCCCCGAAACATCTGGGTTGTCTCTTACCACCTGTAAGAAGGGCTCCAGGGCCAAGATGAATAAAAGTGGCTGCCTGGTTCCGTTTCTGACTGGGAATGCATCCGTGTAGACCCCGTTTATGCACACCCTGGCCGTGGGGGATGAGTAAAGAGATTCTATCCACTGGCGCATATGATTCCCCAGGCCGATGTGTTCCAGTACCGAGAATAGATAGTCCCACGCCACCCTATCGAAGGCCTTCTCTGCATCCGTAGTGAGGAGGAGAAGGCTCTCCGAGGTGCGCTGCGTGTGGTGGATCAGAAAGAGGGCCCGGACCGTATTATCCCTGGCTTCTCTGTGGGGGACGAATCCTACTTGATAAGGAGAGATTAAGTCTGGTATGTGTGGATTCAACCTTGTAGCTAGTATTTTAGCGAACAGGCGTAAGTCGCAGTTAAGTAGCGATATCGGCCGGTAGCCTGTACACCGTTCGGTATCTCCCCCCTCCTTTGGCAACAGGACAATGTTGGCCGCCGGTGTTTGCTGAGGGATTGTATTTCTCTCTGTTATGGAGTTGAAGGCTGAAATATATTGGGGGGACAATGTGGCCAGGAAGGTTTTGCACTATTTGAGGGGGAGGCCATCTGGGCCCGGGCTTTTGCCTGTCTTTGAGGTTTTGATGGCCAGGGCCAGTTCCTCCTCCGTCAGTGGCGCCTCCAGGGCCTCCGCTGCATCAGAGGAGAGTTTGGTTTTGGTATATTTAGGGAGGTATACGTTCATGCGGGTTGCTCCCAGTTTCGGGTCTGCTCGAGGGGTGTGGGGGGGGATCGCGTAAAGCTCCATTTAGAAGCATGTTACAGCTGTAGCAATTTTGTCTGGCATGTGATTTACTTCGCCTGTGGCGTTGCGCATGCGTGCAATATATGTCATGGAGCGTTTTTTATTGATCATTCTGGCCAGCAACCTGCCGCACTTGTCTCCTTCCGTGTAGAAAAAAGATTTAGTGCGCTGGAGGGCCCTAGTGTACGATTGCCGCAGGACCCGTGCTAGTTCTTCGCGGGCTGCTGTGAGTTCCCTGAGAAGTGTGTCATCTAGTGTTCGTTTGTGGGCCTGTGTTAGGGTCCCTATTTTGGCGGTTAGTTCTCGGATCGTGTGTTCCTGTGCCTTTTTCAGGGCAGAGGAGTGTGAGATAAGGATCCCTCTAATCACACACTTGTGGGCCTCCCATGTCAAGAGGGGGGATGTGTCCTGTGGTAAGTTCTCGGCGAAGTAATTCGTCAGGGCTTGTTGTATGTCTTGGGCCACCTGCGGGTTGGATAGGAGGTTTTCATGGAGCCGCCATGTCATGGTTTTGGGTTTGTGTAATGGCGATGTTAGTTGAATCGTGAGCGGTGCGTGGTCGGACCACATTGTCCCCCCTATGGCAGAGTCCCGCAGTCTGGGTAGGTAGTAATATGGAGAGAAGAAGTAGTCGATGCGTGTGTAACAGTCATTCGGGGCCGAATAGAAGGTGTAGAAGGTGTGGTTTATGTATTTTGAGCAGTGTGGGGGGGTGTCGATGAGTGGCCCCTGGATGCGTCCTTTGTCGGGTGTAAGGCAATGTTGAAGTCCCCTCCTAGGACCAGACAGCCTGTCGTGAAGTCGTGGAGGGCCCGGAGTGTGTCCCAAAGAAATTTGTCCTGTCGTGTGTTTGGGGCGTAGATGTTGGCAAAGGTATAGGTTTCGTCCAGGATTTTACCCCTAACAAATACATATCTGTCAGAGTTATCCGTCCTGGTCGAGTCAGCTACGGAGGGTATGGATTTGTGTAGGAGTATTGCTGTCCCGGTTAATTGACCCCCTTTTGGGTTCACCCATCTGTGTGGTGGTGGGTCGTGTTGCTCTGGGGTCAGCTCGTCTCTGGGCTGTGTGTGCGGGTGCTTATACAATGTTATATACAAAGCTGTACACCAGTGTAGCATATTCTGGTGCCGATACAGAGTTATATACGAACCAATAGACATTTTGAACTTGCACAAGTGCATAACCCATGGTATAAATAGTGCAGTAGGCAAGTTTAGCATGTGCAGGCGCATATACCGTGTTATACACAATGCCGTGGACAATTTTAGCATGCGCAGGCGTGTATACAGGGTGATATACGAACCAAGAAACTATGTTAGCATGCGCAGGCACATATACAGTGGTCCATGAGCAGGCGCATATACCGTGTTATATACAATGCAGTGGACAATTTTAGCATGCGTGGGCATGTATACAGGATTATATACCAACCAAGAAACAATTTGTATGCAATGCAGTGCAGTAGACAATTCTAGCATGAGCAGGTGCATATACACTGGTCAATACAATGCAGTAGACAATTTGAGCATGTGTAGACGCCTATGCCACGTTGTATACCCTGCAGTGGGTGATTTTAGTATGTGCGGGCGCATTTACAATGGTTTGCAGCGTAGAGGGTAGTTGTAACCTGTGCATGCGGGTATGCATGTGATATATAATGCCGTAAATAATTTTAGCATGCGCAGGCACATATACATGTTAAATACAATGCAGTGGGCTATTTCAGCATGTGCAGGCGAGACACAGCGCAGCAGGCACTCCAAGCGGGCCAATGCCAACACTTGCGGGCACTACCAGGTACCACAGTCCCTTGGGCCACGTCCCCCAACCCACCCAACCCCATCAGGGTAGGCGGGGCCCTTATGTCCATGGTGACACCTCTGTGCGCCATGCCTGTAGGTGGAATATGGCCCGGCAACTGTTCGCACAGCCCGGCAACAGGTGCTGCTCTGAGGGGGGGAGGGAAAGAGTGCCAATATGGGGTGTCCAATCTGTAGGTTGGCCAAGTTTGTACCTGGGGACATTGTCCAAGTCCTGTAGCAGGACTTTCTGTGCCCTAGGGAGGGCTAGATTGGTGCGAAGCAGCCAGGGCTGGGCGCGGTGGGGGGGGGAGAGGGGGGAAAGTCATTCCTTCTAGCAGGCGGTACCTGTAGGCCTAGTGGCCTCCTGGCGTCCCCATCAAGTGCGTTGCGGCAGCCTGGTCTCGGATAGGGGTTTCTTGTGGCGGTATATATGTCCAATGGATCTGGCCATCTCATGTTGATAGCGGGCAGTTGGAGCTCTGTGCCCAGCACTATGTAGTTGCTGTGTGTGCGGAACAGGAATGGACCTCTCGGCGTGTGAACAAGCAGTCCCGTGGGCATCTGCCATCTGTACTGGATCTGTTGGATCACTAGTACTCTCGTGAGCGGTTTCAGAGCACGTCGGTAGGTCAGAGTAGCCGGCGATAGATCTGGGAAGAGTTGCAGGTCTTGGTTCCAGTAGGTGAGCGTTTGCTGGCCTCGTGCTTGTTTAAGGATAGTCTCCTTTAAGGCAAAATTCGCTAGGCAGCAAATGACATCCCTGGGTGGGCTATCTGGCGTGCCCTTAGGATGGAGGGCTCTATGAGCTCTTACAAATTCTATAGGTGCCTGGTGGTCATGACCTAGTATCCCATTAAATATTTCCAGGAGGCTTTCCTGTAGTTGCTGGGGGGGGTCCTCAGTTTCAGGGAGGCCGCGCAGCCTTAAGTTATTGCAGCGCCCCCTGTTGTACAAGTCCTCAATGTGTAGGTCCATGCCACGTACCTGTTCTGAGGAGGTTTCTGCAGCCTCAGCTAGTGTGTTCTGGGCCTCTCTCAGGCTGTCACAGGCTGCCTCCACGTGGCTCACGCAGTCTGTCAGGCCCTGCATGTCAGCCCTCAGTGCCTGAATGTCTTGCCTTATTGTAGCTCCCAGCTCAGAGGTGGCCGAGCGGAGGTCTTCCTTTGTGGGCAGAGCTCTCAGGAGGTCTATCCATGGGGGTCTTTCAGAGCCTCCCGTGTGCAGGTCGGATGCCGGTGATGAAGGCGCGGAATCTTCCGACGCCATTGACCGTCGGCGCCATGCGGCTGTGTCGTGAGGTCCGCGGGGGTCACCGGGAACTGACGCAGGTACGAGGTAAGCTGTCCCTTTTTCAGCTCTGGGGTCTTCCCGGTCTGTGGGGCTCTATTTGATCTCCCCATGTCGGCAGAGTAGCAGACAATTTGGTGCTGGCTAGTCGGAACCAGGGCGGAGGAAGAGTTTATGCGGCCATTTTCGTCGGCTGCCGAAGGGCAATTTCTTGCAATATAAAACTTTTCGCTGTAGGATTTATAGTTTCTAAAATACAACTGTTTGAAGATGGCAACTGCCAAAATACTCTGACCTGTGCCAGGCTGGGGCAGCAAGTGATGTCATAGACACAGGGCCTTTTGTACACCTGCTAATGTTTTTATCAATGTATGTTTTAATGTAACTGTGAAGCATTTTGGGCAACAACGTTGCAATTAAATGTGCTATGTAAATAAATAATAACAGTTACTCCGCCCACTCCAGTTGTAGACTACTGGTGGAGGCAAGAACACTTCACACAATTTCCCCAGAAATTGTAGCTTTTCTAGTTGTTATTATTATTATAGCCAAATTTACCACCCTTACTCCTCCCACAGTTTTTACACTACATAGACAGTAATATTCCTAAACGTGCGGATTGTTCCCGACTGGATTGCTATTACTTTGTGGAACGTTTCGCCGAATGGTTCACGGAATATTGTCATTCTTGTGGCGAAATTTGTCCCATAGGAATGAATGGCAAAATGTTCAAAACTAGAGTGGGAGCTGGCAAAAGCTGAAAAATCAGGACATGATTTCTAAACTGCCACCACTCCATCATTTTCAAGCCCACCTACACAAATCTTATATCAAAACGTTCAGCTATCTGTGCTGCTACTAAACATGTCATCGGCTAAGCCATAGTCCTGATATTTTTCACAATATGACTATTTGTTTGCAACTCACGCCGTCCATTGACATTCACTGAAACTCCACTTTAGCCAGCTCAAATTTGAAGGGCAATTTCTAAACTGCGACTGTGCCTTCATTGTTAATATCTCAGAGACACACTATGCATCAAAATGTAGGTCTGGGTTTTGTGAGTCTTGCAATATAAAACTTTTCGCTGTAGGATTTATAGTTTCTAAAATACAACCGTTTGAAGATGGCAACCGCCAAAATACTCTGACCTGTGCCAGGCTGGAGCAGCAAGTGATGTCATAGACAGGGCCTTTTGTACACCTGCTAATGTTTTTATAAATGTATGTTTTAATGTAACTGTGAAGCACTTTGGGCAACAACGTTGCAATTAAATGTGCTATATAAATAAATAATCACAGTTACTCCACACACTCCAGTTGTAGACTACTGGTGGAGGCAAGAACACGTCACACACTTTCCCCAGAAAATGTAGCTTTTCTAGTTACTATAATCTGAGCCTTATATTTTAACTCTCAAGAACTAATACAACTCCCTGGTACAGATAAAACCCCATTTGGAATATACAATGGGCTGCCCTCTCTCCCCAATCCTGTTGGCCTTTATACTAGAACCTCTTTTAATTTGCACTAGAGAAAGGGGAGATATTCAGGATATTCAAATAGGTAGGGAAATACACAAAACAGCGGCTTATGCCGACGATATATTAATTTCAATAGCAAAGCCTTTTAAATCCATTCCCATGTTGTTTCATTTGATGGAACAATTTGGGGATATTTCGGATTATAAAGTAAACTATAACAAATTCTGCGGAGTGACTTTCCATCCATTAGGTCTAGAACAAGATCCGTTATAATCTAAATTTGATATGTCTATAGGTAAGTCCTTATGCTATTTAGGTATTAAAATTGGACGCTTTTATAATACATTATTTAAATATAATTACTTACTTTTAATAAAAAAACTGAAAAGGGACCTAGAGAATTGGCATGATAAGCCAATCTTGTGGATCGTCAGAATCCATTCTATAAAAATGAATATTCTACCGAGGCTTTTATTCTTATTTCAAGCCTTGCCTTTACGGGTGTGTAAGAGGGATTTAGAGAGCACCCAGAAAGCTATAGATACATTTATATGGCAGGGTAAACGGCGTAGAGTAGCTAGACCTAGAGACAAAGGGGGACTGGGTCTCCTTAATTTACTTATCAACTACTACGCTGGCCAATTGGCACAAATTATTGGGTGGCATTCACCTCAAGGGAAATAGAGATGGCAGATATGGAGGAAGACTTGATGATCCCAGACTCACCGGCAATGTATATGTGGTTAAATAAGGTCTCAAGACCAGGTCTAAAACAAACCTGCCCATCGATGTCAAACTCAAGTTAAAACATGGCCTAACTAACCTCCCTTCTCCTATGACATCAGTTTTTCAGAATAGACAATTTATCCCTGGAATGGAATAACATGATTTTCAAAACCTAAAAGTAAGGGGAATTTATAGATATGCAGATCTTTGGTCAGAAGGAGAAGTGGTTTCAATTTGTAATTTAACGGCCAGAACAGTGCTGAGGACAGGAGACTTTTTCTGCTACCTGCAGATGAGACTTCGCCTCCTTGACTGAAGTAAAAATGGTAGTTAAATTTCCCCTCACCGATTTTGAAAAACTATGTAAAATAAGAAAGATAAAGAGAGATCTTATATCTGATTTCTACAACCAGTTAAGTGAGGAACCTACAGTTTGGGGTTCATTAAAGTATATATCTCATTGGGAGGTAGACCTAGGAAATTCTCTGGAACCGAATGATTGGATAGATAACTGGAAAAGAGCATCTAAAACAGGGGTAGTCAACCTTTTTGTACCTACCGCCCACTAATGCATCTTTCTTGATGGTAAAATTTCCGTACCGCCCACCAGTGCTGCAGTAACGCAAACTTTTTAGCGCAAGTGTCTTCAGATACTCTGGTCTTTTTCTTCAGACGTGGGTTCTAAATTTGTTGCACAATTTAACAACTACTTTTACTCTTACTACGTTTTGATCTGCACTCCACACAGTGCTTTCCTTCCCCCCTCCCCCCAATCTTTTCCCTTTTATTACAAACACCCAAAACAACGCTGTATTAGGTGCCAATTTTTATTACGCGTCACCATAAAAAGAAGTTCCCCTTTTTTTCTCTACTTTTCCTGCACCTTATATTATATCAATATATCAGGGGTCTCTTTTTCCCCTTTCTCTTTCTTCTCTCCTTCTCCTTCCTTTTACTTATTTTCCTTCCTTCTTTCTTTCTTTTAAAAGACAACAAAACTTAACTTGCCAAAACACGAGCCACTCTAAACACTGCTTTCTCTCCTCTTTTATTTTATCCCCTTTTTTCTATTTTTCTTCCCTTTTTATCTCTTTTTTTAATGTATTTCTTTTACCTTCTTTAGGGCAATGTGCAAAAGCAAGGCTGAGCTAGTTAGCCCACTTATTATTATTAACCAACAACAATTCTCTCCTTGTCCTGCCTATAACTTTTCTTTCTCCTATTTTACAACTGCTCTGCTCTGCTTTTGCCTGTCCCTGCTATCGTATATCAGCTCCCACTCCTCCCCTTCCTCTTCCCATGTGTTACACTCGCTCGCGTTGGCACATTCTCGTGCACATGCACACATTTTCTTGTTCGCGCACATGCATTTTCTTGTTCGCGCGCGTTTGTGCTTTCATGTGCATTTTTGCACTCACACCCGCCCGCCCACTCTCTTCGATGGAAGGAGGATTCAGCTTGTTGTGCCGCAAAATCCCCTACCGCCCACCTAGAATCCCGAAACGCCCACTAGTGGGCGGTAGAGACCAGGTTGACTACCCATGATCTAAAATATCGATATGCGTGATCTCTCAAGAGTAGATGTTTAAAATATTGTTTAGATGGCATGTAACCTCCGCCTTCTTGTATAAAATTGGTAAAAATCCTACCGATCTATGTTGGCGGGGATGTGGTCAACAAAGGACATCTACATATGGTGGGATAGCCCAAAAAATGGGAAAAAAATAAAAAAAAACTTGTTTTGACGATACTACAGGAAAACATAGAACTAAACCCTTGGATATTTTTATCTAAGTCAATAGCGGGAATACCCAGTCATTCGCAGAAACTAGCATTTCTTATCACATTGGCAGCATGTAGATGTATAGCTGCCGGTTGGCTAAAATTAGAACCACTATCTATGAGAGAAGTCGATTTAAAAATTCAAGAAAATTATATTATGGACGCTCTATCTTCAAGAGTTAGACATTCCTACTCTACTTTTAGCAAGGTCTGGGACCCATGGAAGGCATATATTAAAAGGAAAGACATACCTAGATAGAGAGGAGTTCCCCCCCCCCTTTTTGTTGTTTTGGGGTTATTTTACCTTAAAAATAAAATATACAATGTTGAATAACTTAATTTTGAGGTATTCAACCTAAAAATCAACTCTATAGCTGTAAGTTCATTGAGCAGGGCCCTCAACCCTTTTGTTCCTGTGTGTCCAACTGCAGATGCGCTGTTCAGGTAAGAAGCGTACTGAAAGCCTGGGAAAATTGATCCATACGGTCATCATTCTCCTCTGCTTTCTCTCGCAAGCTGCTATGTGTTGACACAGTTCTGCAGGATCTATGGCCATGTCGTAATGTCAGGATTACTAGTTGATCCAGCACGCAGAACTGTATCACACGTAGGACTAAAGATAACGTCTTACCGGGCCTTAGAATGGCCGGACTTAACGTACCAGAGAATAATCAGAATACTTGCCAAGGTTGGGGGACACAGAATGAGACACAACGATTAGGGAAAGCCAAAAGTCAAGGATAGCAGAGAACAGGGAAGTCAAAACAAAGCCAAAGTCAATAACCAGAAATAAACGCTCAGGAACACACTC